AAGAAACTCCTTTCTGCCGTCAAAGATGCTGCAGGTTCAAGAAGTCAGCTCTGGCCTTTGCAATACGTGAGCTGACGTCAGTTTCTATGTGCCCATCATTGCTGATGCAGCTGCCAAGATAAGTGAAGTGATCAACCACCTCGAGTTCCTCGTTAGCGTCATGGGGTCATCAAGTGGTTGGTGGTTCTGCAGCAACACTTTGCACATTGAAGGTACAAAGCGCATACCAAATAATAAGACCACTCTGGACAGGCTATTCAGGGTTGATTGGGCCACCCCAACATCGCCGAAAAGTAAGACGATATCGTCTGCATAATCTAGGTCAAGTGATCTTTGACCAGGCAGCACTTCAACGCCTATATCGTGAGATTCTCCAAGTGAACACTCCATGATAGAATCCACGACGAAATTGAACAAAAATGGGGAAATCGGACAACCCTGACGAACGTCACCTATGGTCGGATAGTTATCCGAAAGGCCACTGTAGACCCTGACGCGGCCTGCGGTGTTCGGGTATGGAGCACGAAGGATGTTCGCATATTTCGTGGGAGCAACTTTCCGCGCAAGTATTTAGAACAGAATCGATCTATCGACTAAATCGAACGCACTCTTTAAATCAAGGAACACAGCTATTGTCGGTCTGCGGTATGCGTGGCGCTGCTCTAGCACCTGCCGCAAAGTGAATATATGGTCTATACAGCCACATCCTGGGCGGAAACCGGCCTGATCTTCCCTAATCCGAGATTCTCGTTCCGCAGTGAGGCAACAAACGAAGATCGAGGCCAGTAACTTTGTCATAACTGACGTTAGGCTAATACCCCTGGGGTTAGAACAGTCTGTGCGACTGTCCTTCTTGTATATTGCCACTATAATCGATTCGCTCCAATTAGCCGAAGCACTCTCTTCCTTCCAGACACATTCGAATAGCAAGGTCAGTGCTTTGCAGAGGACCTCATCTCCATCCTTAAATAGTGCAGGTGGTAGGGAATCCGGGCCAGTGGCAAGAAAACGATTGAGGGCTGTGATGGCGTTGCGGACTTTGACCTCCGACGGAGGCTCTAAACTAACCGTCCAGGGCTCGTCCTGCATTACCTGAGTAGGAACAGATCCGAGAGCAGGGTGCCAGCCGAACTTATCTTGAAAGTGTTCCGCCCAACGAGCCATACGGTCCTCCTTATTGTGTATCAGTGCACCCGTGCTCTCTCTGATTCATTGACATCTGGTTTCCTAGGACCAGTGGTGCGAATTAGCTGGAAGAGCTTGTGGTAATTGCCTGCTGCTCCTGCCTCCTCCATTTCTTGAGCCCCACTGGTCCACCAGACTTCCTTGTTAGCACGTAGGCTCTGCTTTAGTTCACGCCTAATAGCCCGTCTGGTAACACTGTGTTCAGATCCAGCCGGGAGTTATCTTCTAGTTTCCCACAACTTCACCGACCTCTCGGAAATCCAGTGACTGGGGCGGTGAAGATGGATAGTGTCAGACACAGATGCTCCTGCGTCGTGCATGGCAGCCTTGATCCTATTCCACTGAAACTCATTGTCATTAGGACAAAACAACAAAATTTCCGTATGCAGTGCGTCTTGATAGGCTTGCCTGACCCATGGCTGAGAAATTTTTTCCGTTGCCAATCGGAGGAGACGCTTGGTGCGCTTCCCGGTAAAGTTCAGGAGAAACGACAACGTACCAAAGCATGATCAGAGTCGACACAGGTACTCCAGTACGAGCGGCAATCCAGGATGGAACCACGCCATCTGTAATTTATGGCCATGTGGTCAATTTTGCTCCATCGCTTGCCAGCTACAGGAGGTCGCCAACTGGCACTTCGACGCCCACTGTGTCTAAAAGCAGTGCTAGTAAGAAACAACTGGTACTCCGCACACAGTTGCAGCAGACGTTCACCGTTGTCAGTCTGTTCAGAGTTAAGCCCACAATTACCACGCAGCTGAGCTTCTGAAGAGCTCAGGCGCACTACTTGTGAGTTCACATCCCCTGCAAGAAATATAATATCTGAACTAGTAGCACTGCGTAGTAGCGTGTTCAGTTCGCGATAGAATGTGTCCTTGACAGCATTAGAACTGCAGTCGGTGGGAGCATAAGCGGAAATCACAAAAAACAGCGTTTTGTAGTACTTCGTGAATCCACCTTAGCTGATGTCGTCAAGCGGGCTGTACATAAACGGCTGTTCACCGGAATCCAGTCAACCAACGATGGCTCAGCCTTGGAGCTGAGAATGATACCTACACCAGCTTGACCCATGAGTGCTGCATCGGCGTCTCAGGATGCGTGCAACCAATAAGGAGAGAATAAGTCGGGTGCAGTTAACTCAATAACCCCGTTAGGGTCATTGATCCTAGTTTCGGACACACAACACACGTAAATACTCAGTGTGTCCAAGGTGTGGGCGAGCGCAGCCTGTTGACCTACTTGTCTTAGAATGCGAACGTTGAATGTCGCCATGAAAACAGAACAGTGTGGTCTTATAAGGGACTTTTGCCGATAGGCGTCCGAAGGGTGTGGTGGGATGGTGGCTGCAGATGGTTCTACTCCAGTGACATTTCGCTTGCTGTCAATTAAGCTGGGAATTATAGAAGATAGGTTAGTAATGGGGGTCGGGATGGGAGTAAGAGAAACAGGTGGAAAAGAAAGAAGGGAGGCGCCAACAGTAGCATGTTTTCGCTTGTCCGTCCTGCTGTATGCAGCAGGTAAGGTAATCCTTGGTAATCTGCGCGACGGCCGATGCAGGATGAAGTTTATTTTTGGAGAAAATGTCATGGTTGTATGTGGGCTGAAATACTGCTAGGGCGTCCAGACCTAGACAGGAGGACGATTAGGGTCCTCATCTAAAGCGTTTGGCTCAAAAGCCTCTCCGCAAGGCAGCGGGGAGGTGGCAATGATTTAGTTTTACATAAATGGACGCCATCCCATAACAAACACCCGACCTTGAGGACCAGGTAGGAGTAGCTCTCAAGGTTCCCGGATGCATCACCCAGTATAGCTCAATGGATCAATGAGGTACACAGACCCTAGCACCACGTTAAGGTCCAGTCTCGTTGCGACGGAGATCCTGAACTAATCGGCTATGGCTCAACCTCCACCCTCTGAGTAGAATGTGGTCTGGGAAGATACGTCCAACTGAAATGATCTCGAAATCGCTCCGACGAACTAGCCAGCCGGAGCTGCGTAGTGTCAATCATAACTCACATACTGTCTCTGATGTTTCACTGACCAGTGGCCCGCATGTTAGAAGAGCTGGTACTAATTGCCTACTGCCTCCGTCTCCTCCATTTTTTAAGTCCTACTAGCTCACGAATCTTCCTTGGAAGCACACTGACTCCGCTTTTGTTCGTGCCTATTAGTCAGTCTAGTTACAGTGTGTTCAGAACCGGCCAATAATTTTGTTCTGAATTCCAAGCATTTTACCTTCCCACACAGTATGGCGTCATCAGAAGTTTCCCAAGCAAGCTGACAGAAGAGCATTGTAGTCTATGTAGGATAATGCAGGAAGTCGGAAAACTAAGTATTAAATTACCGGGTACCAGAAGCTATAAATATGGCAGAACAAAAATAAAAACAATAATAATACCGATATTTTGCGAGCTGCTGAGTAGCTGTGCCTGCGGAAAGGCAGATCACGTTTTACAAAAGCTTTCATGTTGATAACTTGTGCGGATGATTAGTTGATAATGCGAGTAAACTGTTAGGATCAACCAAGGAAAGGCACTTTTTTCCAACAGGTTTGATGTTTGAGACAAGGATATTTGTGCTGTGGGGTTCGGATAGCACTATTTAAGATACCGCGTAAAGACTGGAGGGGAAATAGGTTAATGACATGTATTTGTCGTGCAGTAGAATTGCACTGAAGGAGACGAAACAACCATCGAAGGAATCGGGTTTCTTTGCTGTACACAAGGAGTAAATGCAAACACAAGTAAAAGCTGTACCGAGGTGGTAAATAACCTGTCCATTTGAACAGTACGAAAATACTAAGCACTGAATAGTGCTTTATGGGAGTAAGTGGAAATTTTAACCCCTACGACCGCAGCTAAATGTGAAAAAAGTTAAACATAAACTTCATCCCTAATCTATCAACACTTATCATTCATCAAGTTCCCACCTTATTTCGTAAAAGATGTATGGCACTGAGTTAGGACTCGGAAATGGGAGCTGTCATTTGCAAACTCAAATCGTCCCCTGAATCCAATAACATTTTGTATCACTGTACATAGTTCGCTTCCAATATAAGCCTAGGTTTAGTTCCACGCCGTGACCGCAAGCCGTTCAAAACACAAAGGGTAGGGCGCTAGTTTCAGAGCCTGTTTCACAAGCATATCATGGTGTCCGTACGGGCTGCAGGTTGTTCGCAAGCGGAGCAGCAGCTTCATCAAGGGGAAGCCAAGGAGATTTACAATGCGGTAAGTGACGATGAAGTCTACTCGCACACGACGATTTGATGGGGTATACATTCCTAGTCTGTTGCATAATTCTTCGTACTGTAAACCCGGCAAATTGGAACGAACAGAATTTTTTGGCCAGATTTGTATGACTGCTTATCTACCAAAATACTGAAACTGAATGATTATACCGGTGGGGTAGGAAGTAGTTTCAATCGGGACTGATCAAATACGTAATTACTTCGTAGAATGTGTGTTCTAAATACTTTAAAATACATCAGCGTTTTCTCGTTCCGAGAAAATTAGTCACTCCCAATTCAACGGTTGTCATCTAGCACAAATATTATCTAGATCTAGATTCACGCGCGAAAGGCTCTGACTTTTTATTTCGCTACTTTCAGATACCTTCGACCTCAAGTGAAAGATTTAGGCCTCTGATGTCCGCCGCGGCAAGTGAGTCCTACTCGGCTGATCATGTCTCCTCCTATACTTCTGGTACGCTGCAAATCTTGAGAACTCTTGTATCCAGTGCGTTTTCTGTCACTTCCAAACCAAAACAAAAAAACCTGGACGGTAAATGGACTATGATGCGTAAACCCTAATCCTGTTATGTCTAGTCTTCCCAAGCGCCGGTATCAAATGTTGTCAACCGCGGTAGATTCGTCTCCTGAAGTGACGCCCTCGGGGCATCCAATCGAGTGGGGTACTTCAACTACCCATGCCTGCACACTGAATGGAGAAGGTTACCCTCACAATGGAAAGGAGGCATTGCCGATATTGAGCGGCAAGCAAGTTTTTTCATATTTGTCAACGGAATCACCCCAGAACATGTCCCCACTCCCGCAGATTTACGATGCCTATCAACGACAAGGCAGTTCCCAAAGTGAAAGCTGGTTCACCGCCAGTTCGCTGATGGATTCCAGTTTGGACAGCTCACTAGAAATGCAAATACCCAGTGACAAAGCACCCATAATATATGGCGATAAATTAGGAGAGGAAACCTTAGTAAAGCAAGTTACAAATCCCTTCTGTTTGGCCTCCAGCCACCATAAAACAGCGGAATGTAGAGAGGACTACAAACACTGGCCAGCGGATCAACTGGGGCTAGGCATGGCGAATGAACCGCTTACTTTGACATCTGTTCAGTCTGCTTCGCTCAACACCACCGTTAACCCACCACTCTACACTCTACGGCATGGTTTCTCATCCAGTATTAAGTCAACTCAAGGAGAGGTTAGTAAAAACTCGTCCGTAGACAAGGAGATGCTGGCGAACACCGCACCATCCGCGATTTTACGAATAAAGTGGAAGCGCTTTTTTGCATCCAGGAGAGGAGACACGCAGTCTCAAGGAGCGAAAGATGCAAGGCACAAGTTAAACACATTGCATATCCAAAATCCTTCTATTAATAGTGTTCCAATTTCCCCAATTAACGGCCTACAGAAAACCGAGGAAAGAGCCAGTGGGGTAGCGAAACTCAGTACATCTGTTGGGTTGCGCGAATCGTCACTGATGCCTGAGTTGCTTGGCTCTAAGGATGGCTTACTAAACGAAGAGGATGAACCTAGCGTTAAACATGCATCACAGAGCTCGGATTATATGCGGCCAGCAGCTGATGTGCGAGTAGAAAGCAGGGAGCGCAAGGGTGACAACTATGGTCGGCAAATGTCTTCTCCCGCAGTTTGTATGAGAAAGCCTGCACACCAGCTGAGCAAAGATCGAATTCGGAAGAAGACTAGAGTAAGTTTAGCATCACCCAGTAACTTGGATGAATTATTCAAATTGACGGACTCTGGGATACAATTGGAGGCGGAACACTTCTGTACAGACCATGCACAGGTGCAAGAAATCAAATATGGTGAATCGCGGCGGAATGCAGACGAAAAGAATGTGGATTTGGAGTCACATCCAGTAACAGCATACCGATCGTCCTTTGAGTTCAAGGAACCTGTCCAGAGTGGCTTAGTGGAAAGGAAAGTCCACGTCGGAGCGTTGGCACTAGCGTGGGCAACTGGAGAGCGGAAGACAAAAAAGGAATTTACTGCAACAGAGCCCACACGTGAAAGTCAGATAACAAATCGCCGAACAGGCCTTTTACCCTCAGCAGTCCAGGCAGCGGTGGATAGTGTGAGGGCCAGTCCGATATCAACTGGAACCATATCACGCCAGATACTGGGAAAATTTCAAGCACAAAAACCATCGGGTGAGTGATTTCTTGTAGTGAATATGGACTTTGATTTCTAACTCAATCACGGTCAGATGTGGTATTATTCGCTGTCAAAATGAGTGTCCGATGGGAGGGCGCTTAGCATCCGGTGGGGTTGCGGCGGGCTTTCGATCTGAGTTCCTGTTATATATTTTAGGATACAAATCGGTAAACCAGGTATGAAATACTGGTAAGCCATTGAGCACACAAGCAAGTACACTACTTATTGTACACATGCACACAGTCCTGGTGTTACTGGGAATATACCTCATCGTAACAAGCTAATACGATAAAAATAATAACAAGGTGTAAATTTGTACAAAAGAAAGCGAACTAATTGATACTTATTAATCATAGAAAGTGAATGTATGAGAGCGTATACTGTATATGGCTCAAAACCCACGGTATCGAGAACGTCTGTGTAATTTACGACTGACAGAACTTCTGGCATGCATTAAGTGGGATACGATAAGCTTGGTGTGTGTATGTGTGTGGGTGCTTTAATGTGTCTTGTTCATCCAATTGGGTGGCTTAGGGTCTGAATTTCAGTGTACATGTGAAATTAATGACATTGAGTAGGCTCCATCATGACATCAGATAAATATACATATTTTGATGTATTAATGACTAGGGGATTTTGGTAAAAGTAATTGAGGGTTCGTCGCAGCCAGTTCCAAACCAAACTATCTGATTTGAAACTGGCTGCGAGGGACCCTCATTTAAACATACAGATGTCTAAGTTGCCAGGCTTTTACATATTTCTCCTCAACTATATGTCCATATCCGGACGGCTGAGTGTCCGATAATGCTGTTAGTGGTTCTAGCGCAACCAAATATCCCCCATCCGTGTCCTCGGCCTTAAGCAAATTTAAGATTAGCTAGCGCACTTTAACTGTTTCACGTTGTGTAGAAAAGTGTGTGGCATCTTCCATGATTAACGCGTGGTTTCCTTTTATTTAATCTAATAACTTCAATAGTAGATTAAGTTCATTCTGAAACATAAACCAAACAATCAAAGACATAATATGTGGCAATGGAAGCACCTTGCTTATCATGACATTATCATCCCACCTGCTGAAACACATTGTAAAAGCAAGTATGATGTACCAAATTTCAGTTGAAAGGTTTAGATGACACTGTTGATGGGGTCAAAGGAGTTCTGTAGATATTAGAGCCACACAACAGAGAAAATCCGAACGTTGGACACCGCGAAATAGATTGATTAGCTGCAGCGCGCCCAGTACGATGTAAGCATTTATTGCAACCTTGCATTACCCAAAATGTCTTTCATCACAGTAAATATAATACTTTTCAGTTTTTCAACATAAGGTTCATGGGTTATATGGGGTACGTTATTCTGTTAACTTTTCTGTGACTTTCTATTCCTCATATGTTTAGTCAACCTCAAATGTAGTCTTGGTATCCTCCAATCTTTGCGTAAGTACTCACTGCAGTTATCCTTATACCTTTTTTTGCGCTAACTTTAGTGAAAAAGTACCGCTCCAGCAAATGTGAGTCCTCGCACTTATGGAGCCCATGAACTATCCAGAAATAGAGGTGTACAAAGTCGCGCGTAAAAACCTAATGCTTTCATCGGCCTGCAGAAATGAACAATTGCTCTTCACGCAAACGTCACAATAAATACGGGAGTCAGGTGGCTACGTTTTCAAACGCAGTTACTTTTAGCTACTTCATTAATTATGCCATCAGGCCGTGGAATGGGAACCAATTTACTACAATCAGACTTGTGTCCTACAATACTGCTTAAAAAGTTAATAAAAGCATTACTTCGAATCTAGCCGAGGAACTGAGAATCTGCTACGCAGCCCAAAAACTCGTGCTCTTCGATAGCTTGTATATTTTCACCATCACCTCATTGGTAGTGCCGGAAGCGGAACGGTAAATGCTGCTAACGTAACAATGGACAGCAAACTTCGGCATGAATTATGTACCGATGCGTTATTGCACCTTGAGCAATCGGTTTTCAGGTGTTAATGATCAGCTTCTGGAAAATTTGCTTCAAAGTAGAATGCGGTCGTCTGATTGGACATTTAGATAAATTTGGTGTGCAGACGGAACCGATAGCAGGACAAAATCATTTTTCAGTCTAGCAAGATCGGAAGGAAACAAGCGTTATTATAGAGTAGAAGCTAGTGATTTTCACTCCAAGTGTGTGCATATGCGAGTTTGATTTCTCCACTTGCCCCAGTGTGATGTTTGAAAGGATGGGGCTTATAACTAAATAAATGCAACAGTTATCAACGGCGCGGGATATAACAAAACTAGGTGCTGTGATCAATTTGTACAGCGCAAGAGCCTAAAACAGACAATTTCTCAGTTTGTTCGATGCGGTTTCGGAATAAGTTTTTAAGCTGCCCGAACAGTTAAGTGTATTAAAAACATGGGAGATTGACAGCGTGTGTATAAATACTCGAAGGTTCAAGAGAAATAATACAGTAATTCATAAAATCGTCTGCTGGGGACCTGTTTTCGAGCTTGATGGTCCATGGCATGGTTTCACCCACAATTCCACCCTCCATCAGCTCATATGGCAATGTGGCCTTAGGAAGAGTAAGCCATCAGTGCATCAACTGCTACCGTTGTTATGTACATACATAATGGGTACTCCAGCCATCCAACTTGTTTCACTATTCAACTCCTTCGATTCAGGCACCTTTCCTACTCCCCAGTGAGTCTGTGATAATTTGTTCCTTTTGGGAATACTGGTTAGCTCGGAAACTTCAAGGTGTCAACTCAGGAGAGCAGCCCATTGATGGAACGCAGTGAAATCAAGGAAACTATTTGTATGGAATGCAATAATAATAATACTAATAATAATAAGAGATAACTGATGCATTTCTTTATTGTACGCAATGGCCAGACAGTTTGTCTGATCCAACTGTGCAGTGGGATATAAGAGAATAAATAACCATTCGAAGTATTTCTAAACAGGGCAGAAATAAAGAGCAATTTTCAGATTTGTACAACAGCTGCGCATAGTCTAGAAGCAGAGGATTTGACAACGAAATTAATTTTATAGAAGACAGACAGCGCAACTGCCCAAATTATTGTCACTAGAGGAGAAAGACTAATAGCCGTGCCTACAAGAGGAACAACAGAAGAGAATGAATTTGAGCGAATACTTCATGTATCATACTAAAACATGTTGATGCTGCTAATCCTGGCACAGATCTTCAGAAAATCGCCATTAAATCAGTTATACAAGTAACGCTAGTCGGATAAAACCGATAAGGCGGCAGATAAAGCAAACCGTTTTTCTTTCATTTCATAGAGTAATTCACTTGTAGAATTGGACTTCGAAATATTGATTACCCCTTCTACATTGAGAGGCGGACGTACAGCTACGAAACTTAATCATTGGCTGAATTTCACTTATCTTTTTTGCAAGCCTGCCCAATAATATAAGTATCGGTTAAAGAAAAATCTCTCCAACGGTTTCATTCCTGATCTTGTCACTACCGCTGTAGTAATGTCGATTCATGTGTGATTGCGCGTCTGTGTTCAGGTGTAAAACAGATACGAAGACCGAGTAAAGTTTCATTCGGTGAAGCTATAATGGATCAATTAGTTAGGTGATGCATCGTTCCAAACATGATAATGTGGTGGAATATCCTATGAGACCCTTGGTAAATGAACTTCACGCTCTCTGTATGGCTACTAAATCACGTTATCTGTAATTGAAGTAGATCTTAGAGCTATACACTAGCATTTGTTTGCTGCCAACCTTAGCAGAGTTTGGGCGGAGTAACTCTGAGACAGTCTTTAAAGAGCTCGATAGATTCTATGGACACAAGACCATCCCACTTGACCCGACATTACTGAGGCACACAACTATGAACATGCCTTTTTTCACACAGCGTAGTGTCGTTTGCTTAAGCCGGGAGCGTTGCTTTTGCATAGAACGGCCTTCATTTAACTCATCTCTTTCAATCCGAACCTAAACAAATTCGCGGATGTTTGGGGGTTGAACAATCCATCTGGTTCTGAAACACATTCAGAGGACAGAGATCATAAGCGCATGAATCTTGTGTAGTCTTACAAGCGCAAACAACGTGAACTTGCGCGGATTTACAATCGGTATTATGCACAACCATAGCTGCGAACACAAGGAACCAAAATGTAGATTAGTCTAAATTGTAGTGTTGATTTACTCCGAGTATTAGTCTGAAACAGAGATATTGGACGCGGCGTTGATCTAAATCCGGGGACCAGATGTTAATGATTAAAAAGACTGGTAGTGTAATTCAGACTGACGCCAGACATCTGCTTGACTACTATGCAATTTCACATAAATAAACACCCATACATTAGAGGAATCTTTTTAAATCCCTCGTTGTAAGAATGCATTGCGAAGTGCAATCTCAACGAGTGCTTTAAAATGACCTATCCGGTAAGTCATTGAGCAACGTGTTAAACGTTGTCCGCCCCGACTAAATGGGTTACGCGCATAGGGGGCGCTTGACATCCCAAAAGTTCCAATTTCTAATGCGGTTCTTCTATCCCCACCTGATGTGAGTAACCACGTTCGAAACCGGTTGTACAGTGTATTCGGCCTTGAAAAATCCAATATACATCCACACTCACACATATCCCTCATTAGAGAGAGCCCAGACAGCGCTACCAAAATGCATACTGAGTGCAAAAAGTCAGTTATTTTGCAGTGTAATTGGGTCCTCTTTGACCTAGCGATAAAAACGTTTATGGATGTTACTGGTTAATGAAATGAGAATGCGCAACAAACAAAGTAAGCGCACGTCGCGAACTAAACGAGCGCCAAAAATTGTTGGTTCCCGACTCACACACTCGAACTCAACATACAGTTCAACATTCCTCACCAAGCACCTAAGTCAACGATGAAATAGTATTTTTAACTAGAATTTTACAAAGGCAAACCATGGTAATCTCCAGACTGCTACATAACACTCCCCCAGTGGCGACTGTATAAGCAGTCCTTCAGTCTACGTGAGGACCGTCGG